TTTCTCTTTGTCAGCAGAAGACCCCCCTGCTGCGCCCAGCCGGCCCACCATTATCCGCCCAGCCGAGCCATCCCTGCTCGACTAGGCTGCGGGGGGGATGTTCTCGGGGGTCCTCGAGCACCCTCGGTGCAGGAGCTTCGGTGGTCTGGGCCCATCTGCCACCCCTGGCCCTCCCATCCTCATGCAGGACCAGGCTCCTTGCAGGCAGCCCCTGACTCTTCCCTAACCCTGGCCCCCATCCCCAGATGGACACAGCACTGAATGGAGGGGCCCTGTAGCCTCAGGATGAGTGGAGCTGGGGTGTTGCACTTTGGGGGATAGGGTCTTGGGTAGCAGAGGCGGCACCTGCATCCTGCGTGCCATCTTGAATGAGGGATCCAGGCTGGGGTCAGGGGACTCACTCAGGGGCTTCTCTGGCCAGGAAAGCCTGAGTAGACCAGGCCTTCTAGAAATGGCACCAAGGGTGTCTGTAGCCCCCAGTCCTCGCTGGGGACACAAGGAGTGTGTCTGCTTCTCAGCAGTGGGAGCTCCCAGTGGTGAGCCAGGCCCAGCGGGCCCCGTGCCACCCGCCTGCCCAGGTTGTACATATTCCTTCCTTGGCCGTATTAACCGCACGGCCCAGCCTCGGCTGCCAGAGGTGCCTTTGCCAGGTCCGAAACATTCGGCCCCGGCCAACCTCGTTCTCTCCTCCCAGGGTCCCCTCCTCCTCCTGGGTCCTGGACGGCCTGGGCTCAGGGCTGAGTGGGTGGGGAAGCTTTGGGGGCCTCTTGGCTCCCACCCAGGCCTCCCCTACAGGGTGGGCCCCGGGCGGCCTCTCTGTGAGTAGATCTTCTCACTCGCTCAGTTTGACCACTGTAAGTGCCTGCGCTCTGTATCCTATTAATAAACTAAAATAAAGGGAAGACGCTTCTGGTGGCTGCTGTGTGAGCCTTTTGTGTTGATGTTCAGGCTGAGGACATGGGTGCTGGCCTTCCCCCAGAGGGCCTCCCACAAGGACTCCCCTTACCCATCCCAGCATGGGCTCCCCCACACCTCACTCACTGGGGCGCTGCTCTTGGGAGGGTTCACTTCTTCTAGCGGGGAGAGCCTTTACTCTCCTTAACAAGTACCCCCCCCCATTCTACCCCCACCCACAGAGGCCTGGTGGGAGCCCCTGACCACCTCACTGCTAATGGAGGCCAGGGTGGGGGCCTGGGCTGGGCATCCGAATTACTGAGGGGAGAGGGGATCCTGGCCCTCCACCTCAAACTGCAACAATGGTCAGGCCTCTCCCCGCCCCTGCAGTCTTGAGGACTTACCCCCGAGGTTCCCCCTTCGCCCTCTTGGGGGCCCAGGCCTTCTGGCCCAGCCGGGGACACAGTTAAACTTTGCTTTCTGATTTTTCTCTTGTGCCCAGGCGACCACCTCCATCGGCTCCTGCCCGACCTTTCTTCTGAGCTTCGTGGGAGACCCCTCCCGCCTGCCTGGCTGCCCCCTTGGGGGCAGGTCTGTCCTGGCCGGTGTCCCTGAGCCCCAGTCACCAGGCTCTGTGATTTTTCTGACCATAATTTATTGACTCTGGTGCCCAAGCCAGACCGCCTTTTGTTCTGTGAGGCTCCAGTACAGGCTTTGGCTGGGCCACCCTCAGCTCTGTCTGGGGCCCCTGCAGGGAGAGCGGGAGGGGCGGGTGGTCTGCAGGTCCCGATCCTGGAATTCTATTACCAGACCTCACACCAGGCCCGCCCCCCGCTGGGCCGAGGGGCCAGGCCCCTTCCTGTCAATAAAGTGACTGTTCTGGCAAGAACACTGCAGCTACGTCTCCTTCCCGGACCCTGGCATGAGCAGGCTACCCCCAGCAGCAGCACAGGCCTCGGGTGGAGCCACAAGGAGAAGGAAGGCAGGCATGGGATCCCATAGCAGCAAGCCCCCTCCTACTGTGACCTGCCTCAGAGGGCCAGTGGGGAAAGGAAGGGGAAGTTTGCTTCTGGGCCCCGCTCCACACCACGCGGTGCTGGTGCAGGCTGGAAGACTCCAGCTAAGGCACAATTACAGTAGGGGACAGAGGCCGGGCCAGAAAATTCAAGGGTTGCATTCAAACACTGCAGTGCCCCCCCGTGCACAACTTCCAGGAAAACAGGTGCAGCCACTGAGCCACCTCTCCTGGAGGGCCCAGGCCTGTGAGCCAGCCAGTGTTCCCTGCCTGGCCCCAGAAAGGGAGGAGCTGCATGAGGGCCACACCTCAGGCCCAGACTGCACAGCCTCCCTTCTCGTAGGAAACTCAGTTGGAGAAGGAACCCTCCCCCAAGTTGCACACACATGCGCCTTGCTGCCCCTCCTTTCCCCTGTTGTTCTGTGGCAGGGGGCTACGTAGGCACTGGGCGCTTGTCCTGAAAGAAGCGCTTGAGCGTGCAGACTTGCAGCACGGCCACGAGCAGCAACACGGCCACGTTCACGGCTGACCAAAAGTTGACCCGTTCCAGGTTACCCTCTTGCAGGTTGCGGTCACGTGCCTCAAAGGCTCGCAGCAGAGTCAGCATTTGGATGCTGCGCTCGAGCCGGGTCCTTGTAGTCTCGATGGACTCCTATGGCACAGAAGGAGAAGCAGGGTCAAGCCTTTGTCCTATAGAATGGGGTGACAGTTCATGTTGCAGGGGAGTGGAAGGGAGAGCCCAGAGCACAGACTCGGTGGCCAGGCTGCCTGACTCTAAATCCTCCCTCTGCCACTCACTGGCTGTGTCACCAGGAGCAAGTTAATTAACCTCTCTGGACCTCAGTTTCTCCAACTGTAAAATAGGGTATAATTAGAGCACACTACCTATGTACAAGACGGTTATGGATATTTAATGAGTTATTTAAGCCCTTAAAACCAGGTTTGTAAACCTAGAAATGTTCTGTTACTAAGTTGGAGGCACCAATATGTAACAAAGTCTGGGTCAGGCCTAGGGAGACTCCAGCCAAGGCGAGAGGGCAGGGCCCAATGCCAGAGAGCTCAACCTGGGCGCACCTTGATGTCTTCCATCTTGACATCCAGCATCTCCTCGGGCTCCACAGCCTCTGCCCAGCCCTCCAACTCCTCGTCATCCTGCAGGCTGTCAAAGATGAGTTCGAAGAACACCAGCTTCTCCGAGATTGTGCTAAAGGAATTGTCAAAGCACAGCTTGTAGTCCCCGGCCTCCGTGGGCTCCACCCTGGGCAGATAGACACACAGACATGACCCTCAGTGGCCAGCCAGCCGGACTTTGCCAGGCAGGCAGAGTAGTAACCCGAGGCCACTGAGGAGGGGCAGGGTTGTAACTGAACCCGGGCAGCCTGAAGGACTTAACTCACGTGTGCACCCCGTCTGCCTTGCGGGACTCGCTGACCAGCAGCACTCCCTGAGGGCTCTCCAGCGTGAAATCCACGTCCAACCCAGCACCTCCGATCACCTGGGGGGCAGGTAAGAGCGGGTGGAGGGCTAGGGGTAGGCCAAAGACACCTGCTAGAGAAGGCCAGGGCTGGACCAACCAGCACAGACCCATACAGACCACCACCAGGGGTCTACCTGAACTCTGACACCTACACCTGCAAGTGAGTCCTACCCTCTCCGGTCCCCTCTGGCTGCGCTCGTCCTGGCTCCGCCCCTATTGATACCACGCCCCAGCGATCAGCTCTTTTATCTGGTCACGCACCCCCCCACACCCCGCGCGACGAAAGTCCTTGATCTGCGTTTACCTGACCACGCCCCGGTTTGGCCACACCCAAAGGAGATAACTGAGCCCCGCCTCTTTCCCTTAGCCCAACCCCCGAGAAATCCTCAGTTTGGCCACGCCTTTTATGGCGCAGCATGCTGATCAAGCACCCCCAACACCTTCAATGAACCCAACCTTTTTGGCCATGCCCACTCGCGAGACTCCTGCCTTCTGAAGGACTCCCTCTTTTCTCCCGATGGCCCCCCGTCTCCGGCTCTCATTCTAGCTCCGCCTTCTGCCATTACTCCCACCCCTTCCGCTCCCACGCGTCATCCCCGCCCCCTCTGTCTCGCTCTCCCTGGCTCCGCCCCCGCGCTCCTACGCACGGGCTCCTCCCCCTTCCCTCTTTAATACATGCAAAGCTTGCCGTATTTGGCCACGCCCTCTTTCCCTGGCTCGGCTCTATCCTCGGCCCGGGACCCTCTACCTGGTACTCAGCCTCAAGGCTTGCATTGGCCGGCGCAGACTGATAGAAACACTGCTTCCGCCCCGCAGGCAGCAGGAACGTGAACTCGCCGTCCTGGATCGGCGGGGGCCCTGCCCCTCCTACCCTCACTGGCGGCAGTAGTAGCCACAAGGCCAAGGCTAGGGCCGCGCTGGCCGCCATCATCCGGGTCACCCTCTGGTCTACTGACAGGTCGTGGTTCCTTTAAGGGCTAGCCCTGCCCCCTCTGCTACTCGGCGGAGCTCATTGGCAGCCGCTTCTTTCCTTAGTCCGAAGCCCGCGGAGCCAGGCGTGAAGGACCCCCTGAGAGCCTAGCTGCCCGAATGAATGCCTGATGTGCCTAAAAACACTCGGCCGTATACAGACTTTTTCTTCGAAAAGCCTCCACTTCTAATCCCAAAATCTGGCGGGTGAAAATTACATAAATAAATACCATAGTCTACATTCTTCTCAGGCTAAAGTTAAGACAACTGTGGTGGAGGCGGCCGGGTCCTTCCTGCGGTTTTCCCAGAGTTCCCCGCGCGCGACGACCTTTGGGATATCCAGTCTTGGTATAGCGGGTAGAAAATAGAGGCTGGGCATGGCCTGCACGCGACCCGTAGGGCTGGCACATTAAAAAAAACAGGCGAGGTGGAAAACTTCTTATATTAACGAGGGTTTCGTCTTGTTTCTGGTGTGAGTTTGGCCCCAAGTCCCATGTCTGACTTATCATTACCTTCGAACCTTAGAACCATCACATTGTCAGTTTCCTCGCCTGTAAATTGGGAGTGATGAGAATTAGGTGAGGCATGGCTGATGAGTGCTCTGCATTTCTTGCATAGTCAGTAGAGGGATGCGGCCTCACCCTGCACCCCAAGGGTCTCAAGCTTGGGGTCCAGCAGGTAAACAATGAAGTGGCCCAGGGTAAGAAGAACCGACAGCCCAATGAAGTAGGACTAGCATCATCCCCATTTTACGGATGAGGAAATTGAGGCCCAGAGGAATGATTGCCTCAAGTAAAGCATGGGCCTGATTTGAACTAGGCAACCCGGTTCCCAAGCCCACACTCTTCTCGGCTTTTCTCTGCTGACTCCTACTTCTTTGGGCTGTTGTGAAGATTAAGTGAGATGATGCTTGTTTAGTGCTTGGCACATCATAGGCCCTCAGTGTATATCATCTATTGTATTCCAGGTTTATCGCCCTCCACTGGTCTTGCCGCCAGTTAACCTCTCAATCTGACTTAGGAGGACTTGGAGGCGACCTCCTGCTGGAAAGCAGATAAGCAAAGACGTCATTGGAGAAATGTACTCTGGTGATTAAAAAAAAAAGTTCAGATGGAAATTTTGAGTCAAGAGAAGACAGAGAGGTTGGCAGGTGGTGACAGTTACTCTTCGGTGGCTGTCAGCTGTTACTTGCATTTGTTGAGCTTAGGGAAGTAAAACCACTCTGTAATGTCAAGGATTATGTATGGTCACATTTGGTATTCCTTTTATTCCAACTTTTTCTATCATTCAGACTCACTACTTGGACATTTTGAAGTTGTTGTGGAGAATGGGTGATAACTTTTTTAAGTGGATTTTTAAAAATGAGGTGAAAATCACATAACATAAAATTAACCATTTTAAGTGAACAACCCACTGGCATTTAATATAGTCACAATGCTATGCAACCACTATTCCTGCCCACTTCCAAAACATTTTCATCAACCCCAAAGGAAACCTTGTACCCATTAAACAGATAGTCCTCATTCCCCCATCACCCCAGCTTCTAGCAACCACAACTCTGACTCTGTGGAATTATCAATTCTGGATATTTCATATAAATGGGATGTGTGACCATTTGTGTCTGGCTTCTTTCACTTAGCATAATGTTTTTAAGGTTCATCATCATAGCATCTATCAGTATTCCTTTTTATGGCTGAGTAGTATTTCATTGTATGGATATACCACAGTTTATCCATTCATCTGTTGATGGACACTTGGGTAATTTCCACCTTTGGCTATTGTGAATAGTGCTACTAGGAATACATATGTATGTGTATTTGTTTGAGTATCTGCCTTCAGTTCTTTGGGATGTATACCTAAGAGTGAAATTGCTGGGTCATATGGTAATTCTATGCTTAACTTCTTGAGGAACTGCCAAACTTCCCCTCAGTGGCTGCACCATTTTACATTCCCACCAACCATGTATGAGGGTTCCAATTTCTCCAGATTCCCATCAACACTTGTTATTTTCCATTTTATTTTTGGTATAGCCATCCTAATGGGTGTTAGATTGTATCTCATAGTGATACTGACTTGCATTTTCCTAAGGATCTTGAGCATCTTTTCATGTGCTTATTGGCCATTTATATATCTTCTTTGGAGAAATGTCTTTCAGGCTTTTGCCCATTTTTAAATTGGCATGTTTTTATTGTTGTTTAGCTATAAGAATTATTTATATATTATAGAAAGAAAAAGGAGAAAAGAAAAAGTAATGATAAAAAACCTCTCCCACTCTTTGCTGATCTATGGTGGGGCACACCTTCAGTATTTCACCTGGGTGTTTACAACTCTGCCTTAGCCCTCTCTTCTTGATTACACCAAGCTTAGAAATCAGCCAGAGATGAAACATTAGGGTCTTCTCAGGTCTTTTCTGAGCATTTGTCCTGCCTTGAGCATGCACACTGCTTTCTAAATTCCTCAGTATATTCGGGTTTCTTTTTTAACTTTTTTCTTTTTTTTAATTTAAATATAGTCAGCTTATAATGTTGTGTTAATTTCTGGTGTACAGCATAATAGTTCAGCCATACATACTCTTTTTCATTGTAGGTTACTATAAGAAATATATGGGTGATTTGAATGCCTTAGTTACCCAAAGAAACGCTCATCCCAGCTTTTTGTCCCAGCTTTTGGCATCTCTGTTGTTTTCAATTGTAATTTTGTGCCCCAGAGAGTGGTGGGTTCTTCCTTTGCCTGACAGTGTTTTCCAGGAATGTATTCTCGGTTTAACAGACAAGTACCTGAAATTAATCCTGCATGTAACCCCCAGACATATGAGAACACACACAAAACTGTGAGAATGGGGGCTGCTCTCAGGAACTGGGGGACCAGGGCCCCATCCTGGGGACACAGGCTGCTGTCTTCAAGGCCTCCACTGTGCTGGGGAAGGAGATGAGGAAAGAGCAGAGGAAACGCCGCAAAGCTTTGCTGCCCCATTCAAGGTGCCTTTTCTTGATTCAGCCTTCCTTTAATTGGTGTAAACCTTTAGCTGTTTCCCAGAGTTGGGTTAGAGCTGATTCTCAGCATTTTTAAAACTGGTTTTTTTATCAAAGTGTAGTTGATTTACAATGTTAGTTTCCCGTGTACATCAAAGTGATTCAGTTATGCATATACTACATATATACAGTTTTCAGATTCTTTTCCATTGTACATTATTACAAGAAGTTGAATATAGTTCCCTGTGCTATGCAGAAGTTCCTTGTTACAATTCTTACTATTTTTGCTCGATTTGGTGATGTTTCTGTGGAGGTACAGGCCCGTCGAGCTACTGACTCCATCATTTTCACTGTTGTCTGGGGTGAATGGGCAATTCTTGTTTCCCTCAATTAAACAAAACCCTCTTCTCCCTCCCCAAGTATTCAACAAAATGTACTTAGTGACCCTGTGAATGAAACAGACACCATCAATGTCCTGGCAGAGCTGTCATCCTAGTTCTGCTCCACTAAATGATTTCAGGTAGTCACAGGTGCCAGAAGTAAGTACTAGGTGGGTAGCTGGAGTGGCTTGTTTCACCTGGGTGGAGTCAGGGAAAGCTTCTCCACGGAGGGGGCATTGATGCTCAGATTTGAAGTAGAAGAGAGAAGCAGTAAGTAGAAAGAACAGTGCTCTGAGGTCAATGGCACTCAGAGTTCAAGGGGCAAAAGGGAGTTGAGGATGGGGTGTGTGAGGGGAGTGGCCAGAGAAGAGATGGGAGCAGTCAGCACAGGCCACATCGTTCAGGGTCCCTCTGCCCTTTGTCATATTGGCCTAAAATATTAGCCCGGGGTTCTTATGACCATGGGGAGTTGGCAGAGCGGCTTCTGGAGGTCAGGGATTCCTTGAAATTATAACCAAAGGATTCGGTGTGTACTTGGCAGTGTTGGTCCCACCAGAGCTATTCTCCACCATTCCCTGTACTGCTCCATGGCCAAGGTGGGGTGGGAGGCTGATAGCTACACGCCAGGTCAACTTGGCTGCATTTCCTCTCATTTCAAGTTGGGTTCAGCCCTGGTAGGAAATCTGAGGGCTGGAGGAGAGGGAAGTCTAGGTATATATTCCCTGGCTCCTGCCCTCTTGGTCTGCCTCTCTCTACCCAAGCCTGCCACTCCAGCTCTCTCCAAGTTCCAGGACTGCTTCCTCCTCCCCAGCAACTTCAGGCCTGGCTGCTAACAGTCCCCTGAGCCCAGAGAGTCACCATCCCTCACTGCTTCCCCTTTACCCTTCCCATGACTCCTCAGTCCTGTATCTTCAAGGCATCATCTGTGTGATAGCCGACCAGGACAGGTATATGTGGCTATTTTTCTGAATTCAAAATTCCAAGTTTATAGATTCCTGCACCATATTAGACACTCCCAGGATGAAGTCCTTACATACATCCAAGGCCCTTCCCTCATACTATTCCCTTTACCTAGAACGTCCTTCCTCCGTCTCCTTCTCAGGCTTTTAGAGTCAGATATCACCTCCTCCCAGAAGCCTTCCCTGAACTCACTGAAACTAAGTGAAGAACTCCCCTCGGTGACAGCCTCCATCACAGCACTTCACCAACCAGACTCTCATCGTCTGCTTGTCTGACTGTTTCACTGAACTCTGATCTCCCAAGTACAGGAGATGTTTCCTTCACCACAGCATCCCCTGCACCCAACACAATCCTGAGCCCTTGGTGACACTCATGAATCAGTTGATGGCATAAAACAAACCAGGAATCTCTCCTAACTCTGTCTCATACACACCCAGGAATAGACTGAGTGTATGAGAGCCACAAAAATAGACTGAATGAATGTTCTTTGGCTTTCAGGTCAGACATTCAAGAAATATATATGGTTCACTGTGTGCCAAGCACTCTGGTAGGCACTGGGAAACTGCAGGAGACATTGCAGACCCCTCCCTGCACTCTGGGTGAATTCAGTAAATTCAAGCATGTTCTGCAAACCACCCTGACCTAATCTAGTTGATATTTACAGAATATTATACCAAGCAACTACAGAGTGCACTTTCATTTTAGGTGCATTTTAAAAAAAAGTATCACTAAATTTCAAGAAATTAAAATTACATGGAGTATATTCTCTGAGCACAAAGGAATTAAATTAAAAATCACTAACAATAAGCTATCCAAATCCAAATGTTTGGAAATTAAGTGACACTTCTAAATAACCAATGGGTCATAGGAAAAATCCACAAGGGAAACAGAATATTTCTAATTTAATGATAATAAATCTCAATATATCAAAATGTGTGGGATGCAGTTAAAGCAGTGGTTAGATGGAAATGTATAGCTTTCAGTGCTTATTAGAAGATAAAAGTTTAAAATTGATGACCTAAGCTTCCATCTTAAGAAGCGAGGATAAGAAGAGCCAATGAAACACATGGTAACTGGAAGAAAGAATAAAATAAAGATAAGACCACAAATCAATGAAATAGAAAACAGAAAAGAGAGAAAAAGAACAAAGCCATAGGTTGGTACTTAAAGAAGATTAATAAAATTGATTGGCCCCTAGCAAAACTAATCAGGAAAAAAAGAATAAACACAAATTATCATTATCAGGAACAAAAAAGGAAGCATTGCTACAGACCCTACAGACACTAAAAGGATAATAAGTTCTCTACCTTAGTGGTCCCCCAGTAGACTATATTTTCATTGAATAAATTAAAGAATTTAGGGGAAGAAAGGATAACAAGGGAATATAAACAATTTTATACTAATAAGTTTGATCACTTAGATGAAATGGACAAATTCCTTGAAAATACAAGCATGCTGGCTGCAATCAAAGAAAATTAGAATGCACTATAGGAGGATTCAGCAAGGGGATTTTTCGTTTTTTTTTATT